GGTGTTGATCCGCCATTGTCTTCTCTACTCCTCAGAACCTGAGCGGAGTGGGGCAGGAGCTTGGGGGCCCCCCCAGAGTTATTACATCACAACTCCAGTCTGTTTTAGGCTGCCTTTTAGTGACTGCCATTGGTTCACAGCCATTTGAATGCAGAAATACTCAAAAATGCAATTTTGAGCTTAATTTTCTAAAGATATGTCCTCTAGCTTTAGAAAAATGCCACAAGAACATGTTAACAACACGAAAAACATGATTTTCATCTGAGTGGGTCTTTAAAGCTCATTTGCACAATACATTATTTAACTAGTCTCTCTATTTGTTGTATATACGTTTGTTATATTGCTTTTCTGTGTCCTATATTTATTTTGTAAATCAGGAATACTTTCTGTTTTTTATATTGCTATTTAATATTTAGTTTCATGCCTTGCTGCGGCTACAATGTATTTTTCCAGTTTTGGATCAGTATAGTACATCTGTCTGTCTGTGTCAAAAGTCTGAGTTGCATGATGTTCTTACGCTTCACTGGTGTTACCTGCACTAAATGGTACACGGCACTCTCAGTTTAAAGGAGTCATAACTTAGTATTACCTTGGATACCCACGTTCTATTATAGCCTTTCAGGCCCTTCTAAAAAAGAAAAGTGGAAAAAAAATAAACACTGAGCTCCTCTGACCCTTATTTCTGAAGGCATTATTGTCTCGCGAGATCTGGTGTGATATTTTGGCTGTCATGACCGGTCATTTTAATAATGCAAAGGGGCGCGTTGATTGGTGGCAGGAAGGAGGGGTGTTGACACCGCAGGTAACTTCAGCATATCATTCCAAAATGACATCATGGCGCAAGTTGTGAATGAACCCGACCTGGCCGCGACCTACGGAATTCAACCGTACATGCACGAGCCAGACTCTGAACCTGAGCTGGAAAGGGAAGATGTAGAGTCGATGGAAGGACGTCTACATCAAGATGTCTCTGAATGGTAAAAACAATCATTTTGACTGAGACATTCATTATACCTTTTATTTAATGTAGATTACATTAACGGAGATGTAGTCTACTTTTTTTTATCAGCTTACAGTTGTTATTGAGATCAACATTTGCTATCATGTGGTGTTTTTGCCTTGTTTTACATTGTGGTTTTTTAGACATTCAAATTTGTGAACGATTCGGCGTAAAATGATTAGCACAGACACCTAACGTTAAGCCAGTGGGAAGGGTTGTAGGAACCGCGTCATTAAAAATGAATTTAATCCACTGGTCCCTGACAGCTTGGTCCGTTCTTGGGAGAGAAAACACATTTAAGTTACATGTTGATTCTGGCAGTCAACAGCAGAGCAACTCACGTGTGCACTACGTTTCTGCATCTTTCGCAACTGAATATGAGGGGGAGAGGGGCAGAGCGGACTTCCTGCAGCATAGGTCTGCGGTGTCCATATATGGTATATCCTGCCCCGTCTTGACGTCAAGTCGGGGCAGAAATTAAAATCTCGTATTTGAGTGCACGTGGGCTGGTTTACGAACCTAGGGGTAAACAAACGCTTCACTTTTTAAATATCGGCTTCCCGGCCAGTGTATAATCGTTAGGCAATCATAACATACAATAGCCGTGTTTCCACTGTCGGGCCAGAGCCGGGCCGTGCTGTGGAGCTTCTGGCCAGACAGTGGAAACGCAACAGATTTTGAGCCCGGTGCTCCTGGCCCGAGGCCATTAGCCCGGCTCGGCCCAGTTTAAAGCCCTGGCTCGCACTGGCCCGACAGTGGAAACGCGGCTATTGATTCTCGTGGAAAAGGAAAATTACAGGTCATGACTCCTTTAAGGGAACCAAACAGAGCATAGACAGGACCTCAATGATGCATTGATGTGGATGGGTCTGCATCAAAAACATTTTTTGGCCACAAAGTCTGATCAAAAAAGCACTTTACCTGTAGAGTGTGTATCACAACTGGGAGAGTGCTGAGCATTGTCTGCAGGTAATACACTGACTAGACGCAAGAACATCAACCTCACTTTGAAAATACTGTAGTATCTGTTTTTGAGTCCCAGAATGAAATGTTTAATATATATTATTGTAGGAAGAGGAGTGTTTGCCACACACCCCCATTGAACCCGGGGACTTCGTGTTGGAGTACAGGGGTAAACTCCTCACACAGGAGGAATGCAAGTCAAGAAAATACTCAGAGATTGAAAGCACATTTCTCTTTGACTTTCAGTGGCAGAATCATCACTTATGGTAAACATTGAAAGATGGATGTTTTGTATTGATTTAGAGAAATTTACGAGTTAACCCTGAAACAAGGGTTTAATACTTGATGAATGAGTTAAGCACAAATACTCTTAAATTCTTTTGAAAATAACTCTTTCAATAAAACTTTTTTTTCTGATACTTTTCAGCCTGGATCAATCTGAAGAAGATTTATCTCTCGGAAGATTGGTCAATGACAACCACCAAAATCCAAATTGCGTTATGAAAAAAATCATAGTTGACAACAAACCACATTTGTGCCTTTTTTCTCTGAAGAAAATAGAAATAGGAGATGAAATTGATTACAACTATGGTGATTCAAAATGGCCTTGGTGCAGTAAGGTGAGTTGGTTAGATTAAGTCTAGAGATTTCTTTTTTAAATTTTTTTTGTTGCAAAAGCAAATTTTGTATTTCTCCAATATTAACCATGTTTCCAATATTACTCTTGACTGTCTATGGAAATGCATTTAATCTTTGATCTGTGATGTGTGTTAAAATGAGTTCTTCTTTATCTGCAATCCAGTTGAAAAAAAACCCAAGCTCCAGCCGCAGCAGAAGAGAATGAGACCAGCCCTGTTCCTCAGATGCTTAATGATAGACCTAACCCAGATCAGACCTGCACACAGGTAAAAGTACATTCAAACACATTCATCTATGCTGACATGTATGTGGTGGTGTTCTATTACTAAAGTGGACCAATGCTTATGTGGCTTTATATTGGCTGTTAAAGGCCAGGTAATGTCACACACACCGGCATGTTTCCAGTCATGTTCTTATGGGGTCCTTCCATCTTTCCAAATACATTTGTTTCTCAAGTCTCTCCTTTACACACTCATATGTCTGTAGTCTGACCCATGTGGGGCCCTTCCGTCCAGTTCTTACTGTAATTGTTTTTAATGCACTATGGCAACACCTGACATGACCTCAACTGTGATTTTAACATTCGTAATTGTATACTGTGTCTGAGCTGTTAGATGTTTTAAAGCATCTTTTTGATTTGAATTTTGATGTTAAATATTTTGATTTGATGCACTGAAAACCCCTGTAATGGTCAATTGGACCATGGACCAATGCTCATGGGGCTTTAAAGTAGTCAGGTGACCTTATTGGGTTGTAAAGGCCAGGTAATGTAACACACACTGGCATCTTTCCAGTCCCATTCTTGTGGGGCACCTTTTAATGCATTATGGTAACATCTGGGGAGGAAAAAGAAGAAAATCTGCATACTGGGTTAAAGCTCAGTTACCTTTTTTACTGACTAAAAAACAAAGGTTTCGATCCAAATGGTCTTCCTCAGGCAACTATATGATAGTATTGTAATACTATAGTATAGCTGTACTCTGATTTTAACATTTATAATTGTACACTGTCTAAAAGGGCTGATGTTCACATTTCTGGATTTAGATTTTTAGTCAGACCATGCCATGTTTCTTTGGCCAACCTTTCTAATTCCATACTTAATGAATTTTTGTTTATTTTTAGGTATTTACTGTCCAAGGATTTTCACTGGTTGATTATCCAGATAGTGATGAAACTAATGAGGATGGTATGGAAAACGAACCTCCCACCCCACACCTGGATGTTATTATAGGGCAGAATGATATTGGCCCAGATGTTTCAGATCATTTGTACGATTCAGATGAAACTGTTGTGAAAGAAACTTGTGATGAGGCTTCTCCAAGCAACCATTCCAACAATCAATCGGATGATGAACTTGTTCCACCACTGAGACGCACAAAAAGCATTCTGGTAAGCCCCAAAACACATTTTAACAATATAATTAACTTGTTTATGTAAATTTTTTTGCCACTAGTAAGTGAATTTGAATTTTATATTTGAATGGGAATCATTCACTTTGAACCTGAATCAATTGTTTTGAACAATTGCTTTTAAAATCTGAATTTAAATGGACTCATTTGAAATTGAATCTATTGGATTGGCATAAACACCTGCAGGAGTGATGTCCAGTGATCAGCGCTCAGGTGTGTGCTTAAAAAAAAAAAAAAAAAAAATAAGATACAACGTGCCCAGTGATGTAGGCTACTGGTCAGCCAGCATACCGGGACAAACCCCGGTAGGCCGACGCTATCACTCCCGGACGATGCGGCCGGTCTCTGTTGCCAAAATCCGGTCGAGTCCTCCTCCTCGCCTGGTGCATTAATTATCAATTAAATAGAGATCACCAACAATCAATCAGTAATCATTTATTAGAGAAGCTCAACTCTTCTTTTCTGACTGATTAAATTATTGACTAATCTCTCCCTCTCTCTTGAGTAGTTCCATGTCTACAGGAATGACACTATATCATTATGATGAATCATTTGCTGTGAAGTCATTAAATTTAACAATCAAATGCATGAAAACTGAAACGTTACTCTTTTTTAAATAATTTTGTCAACGTTTACTCCACCTGGAAGGCAGTTTGGACATGGGCCTCAGCAGGTGGATGGAGGGGTAATATTGGTCAATAATTTTCATAGGTGTCTAGCTCACCTGACAACCTCTGAATGGTCTCCCTATCAATAAAAAAAATACAGCAATCATACAGCAAAATATCTCCATGTCTCCCTTTTTGCAGATGGATAGAGTACAAGATTTTACCCACAGTCTCTATGATTAAAGTAGTGACAGCGCAGAGGAGACTCCTTTTAAGTCTGAAAGGGATTCACAGAAACTGAGAAGAAGGTCTTGCCGTCCCGTAAGTCTTTTTTGGGGGGGGGTTTACGATTGTGAAAATGTCTGTTGCTCTTGCTAGTGAGTCTGATGGGGATTCTTCTAATTTGTAAATTTACTTGTACTGAAAATGGTCCATACAGATTTTTCTTCATTTAGTATCCTGAGCCTGTTCAATCAGTATCCTCAGGTTTTTTATATTTAATGTTGCAAAAATAGTTATTAACAGATGTGTGTTTGTTTTTAAAGATTCAGATAAATCTCATGGAATCGGATGACTCAAACTTAGGTAGCGAAGAGGAGTATATTCCAAATCCCATGGATGAAAGCACAGAAAGTGATAGCAGTATGGAATTAACCCTGGAAAAGGAAAAAAGAACAAAGGTGCATCATCCAGTCAGAGCAAGTTTAAGCCCAGAGAGAGAGGAAGTAGATCCTCCAGAGAGAGTGGAAGCGAGTCCTCCAGTCAGAGCAAGTCTGCAGCTTCAAACCCAAAAGTACTAAACCAGGTAAAAATAGAGTTCAGGCATTGTGCTTTCGCTGAACCTTCTCCATCGGAATATACAGACGCGTATTGGAAGTTCTTGAGTGTAATGAGTCAGGACAAGATTGCAGTTGCAATTAAAGGAGACAACTGCATCCTCAATTATGGGTTCAGGTTGTTCAAAAAGAATGAGAAAGTCAGTCAACACCAGTATATACGCCAAAAACTGAGAACTTGGCAGGCTTTTATTGGAAGCTAAAAAAATCACACATGTGAAGACCATTCAAGAACTCATCAAACCTGAACAGTACTCCCAGGTTGTCAGAGCTGCAAAGAACCTATCTGGATTCAGTGAGGAAACTGGCATATACCAATGTCCCTCTCTTGCACGCAAGGTAGGACACAGCCTGCATTCGTTGGCTATGTTTATCAAGTCCGAAGGACTGAAAAAGAAAGATAAAGAAACCATTAAAGATGCTGAGGAGTTCGCACAGTTGTATTTAGATAGTTGGAGGTTTGATATTGCAGGCCAGGCATTAACCCAGCTTAACCGGGCCAAATGGAATGCACCGCAACTTTTACCTCTTACACAAGATATCCAAAGGCTACATTGCTATCTAGAAGAAAACCACAGCAACATCTCAAAGATTTAAAAGAACATCGTTCATCCACAAATTGGAAGGAACTTGCAAAAGTAACACTGACTCAAGTTATGCTTTTTAATCGGCGGAGAGCAGGTGAAGTGTCCCGAATGCGCCTGTCTGCATACTTATCGAAGGACACATCAGAGGAACAGGGAGATGTAAATTTGGCCCTCACAGCGCTTGAGCAGAAGCTCTGCAGGCATTTTGTGCGAATAGCAATTGTTGGAAAAAGAGGAAGGAAGGTTCCTGTTCTTCTAACCCCATTAATGAGAGAATCACTTGATGCTCTTACTGAGAGCAGAGAAGAATGTGGGGTGCTAAAGGACAATGAATATCTGTTTGCATTGCCACAATCTGCCCATTACCTCAGGGCTTGACTGCATTAGACAATTTGTCAGTGAATGTGCTGACATAAAAAATCCTCAAGCGCTAACATCAATTCAACTGAGGAAACATATTGCTACCCTGTCTACTGTTCTGAACCTCAAAACCACCGAGCTCGACCAGTTGGCAGACTTCCTTGGTCATAATATCGCTGTTCACAGGAAACACTACAGGCTCCCAGAAAGCACCCTCCAATTAGCCAAAGTAAGTAAAGTCCTCCTGGCAATGGAACAAGGACGCCTAGGAGATTACAAAGGAAAGAGCCTCGATGAAATACAAGTCGATGTGAATGGTAATTAACTTTATATTCTTGAAGGCACAATATATGACATTTAGTCTTCCGCATTCAGAAAACAACTATTTACCATGTAAAACATAGGGCAGTAATGGTGACGGGATGAGAGATAATGCTACTGTTGTATACTCTTGCAGATTGCCCATAGTTTCAGCTTTCCAAACTCAATTTTTTATCAATTATCATTTTAGAGACCATTGACATGGAGGGACCTTTAGCAGAGGACATTGAAGGTATGTGTATACGATGTTCCTAAATTGATTTTTAAATGATCCGTTTTAGATATTTTGTGTATTGTATTCTTAAGTTATTTCCCTCTCCAGATGTCAGTATGCTAAGAGATGATGGGTCAGACGATGAGGTCAGCATGTCATCCACGCAAGAATGTACCTCCACATCACAAAGTCAAAACCAGGGAGTGTCTGCAACCGGTGAGCTTGAACGCAATTCTTACCTTTCGTGCATTTCACACAGCACGTGGCAAAAATTTGAACATCAACAACTCCACCTCCCTTCTTTGTCCCACCCACCTCTTTCTCCTGCAACTCTGTCAGGAGACCTGTCTGATGCAGAGGCTGCACAATCAGTCAAACACAACCCCAGTTTTAAAACTGAACACTGCGTCAGTACTGCCTGAAATTACAAGTAGCATTAACTTTGAGGTTAGCGTGAACCCACCTATTGCTTATAGGTTGCTCTAATCTCTCGGCACGGACTTCATACAGGGATAGCACAGCTACTCCAAAAAGGTCCCTGTCACTACAGAACATCTGGAATGTGCACGATAAGGTGATGCAGGACAATTCCCTGAGCACATTATCCAAGTCTGCTTCATGGTAGCAAACAGACTCCACGGTTGATCGCAGTGACCACACTTGCACTGCAAAGGGTTGCCGACCCTCTCCTCACTGTCATCTCCGTCCGGAGCCGCTGCAGCTCCCTCAACCAAAAACGGGTCTCTCAACCCTCCTCCTCATCACTGGCTCAAACGCATATGCCATCGGGTTAGATGACTTCAAATAAACTCGTACAGCCTTGTCGTCTTGACATGTTTCCTCCTCATCTGTGTACTCATACTCGTCTCTCTGTAACTGTGTACTCGTACACAGTTGAGGAGGAAAAATGTTTGAGTAGCCGTGCAATCCCTGCGTGAAGTCTGCGCCGTGAGATTGGAGCAACCTATAAACAGTAGGTGAGGGCACACTAACCTAAACGTTAATTCTACTTGTAATGTCAGTAACAACAGTCGCTTTCTGTCTGATGAAATCAGTTCATCTTATATTGTCCAACATACAATCTTTTCGGCGCACAGCTACTTCAGCACTAGTGGACTGCGTGGGACGGTCTGTCGTCCGTACACTATATGAGGAAATATACTGCTTGAGGGCCACTACCCTTTAGGTCTTAGATGTTTCCCTGCTGCAACACACCTGATTCATTGTGCAGAGCTTGGCAACAAGCTGTTTGATCTATTTAATTTGAATCAGGTGTGTTGCAGCAGGGAAACATCTAAGACCTAAAGGATAGTGGCCCTCGAGGACTGGAGTTGCCCATCCCTGGGCTAACATGACAACTAATATTTTCACGTCACTAGTCACTTGAAAAGAATTTAGGACTATAGGAGACGGGATGAAATAAACTGTCTCTCTTTAAGAGACACAAATCCCATATACTGACTTCTTATTAAGTGCCTTGAGAAGACATCTGTTGTGAATCGGCGCTATATAAATAAACTGAATTGAATATACTAAATTATTTTATAAAATAACACAACCACTGTACGGACGGCTATTACATATTTCATGTAGTGTATACTACAATAAAGTTATTTCTTTGTCCAGATGTCAGTATGCCAAGAGAAGAGGGGTCAGAAGATGAGGTCAGCATGTCATCCCTGCAAGAATGTCCCTCCACATCACAAGTCCAAAACCGGAGTGTGTCTGCAAAAAAGAGAGGTAAGCTTTGGGGCTTGCACTCTCTTTTGGGCCAGAGCTGCTCATTTATTTTTAAGGGCTTTTACTTTGCTTCCTTGACTCAACACTTGAAATATGTCTGTCCCTCCTTACTGTCCGGTGCCACAAGCCTGACAGTGACTTGAAAGAAGCTGTTGCAGGAACAGACCTTGTGAGCCTGCATTGTCGCAGGTTGTGGGGTTGGGGAAAGACTGGCATTATCACCTTTATATCAATAAGAAGTCTGTATTTAAAAAAAAAAAAAAACTTCAACACTTTATGGACTTACTCAGGAACAATGCTTGCATTTCCTCCAACAACGGAGGTGTACAGTGACCAGTTGAAAAACTCGAACAACCTATAATCACCTTAAATACCTCCTAACTGCTAGTGTTCCTTCATCCAAGTCTCATTAAGCCTCCACATGCAGCTGACTTTATTAAATGACCTTTTAAAAGTGCCTTATAAATAGAAAATATTATTATTATTATTATTTTGTGAAATGCAAAAAAGAATAAAATTGCTTTAAGTGAGAGTGTGTGTTTATACTCGAGTGTAGGGTAAAAGCATCCTGTTGCAGTTTCTTTTCCAGAATTATAATGTAATGCCGTCAGCAACACACAAAGAAAAAAGAATGCAATCATAACAGTTAACTATAAATAAAGTTAAAAAGCAAAACTAAACGGAATGCGTCTGAGCAGGCACTCCTCCGTTGCTTTCTGCCTTTCATTCACCCGTTGCAGCTCTTCCTTCAGCCAGTTGTCGGTCGTTCTCATGGTTGTTTTGGCAAAAGAGGGATCACGGGGCTTGGAGAAGCTGGCAGCACAGGGGGGCTGGGGTTTTTCCTTCATGCACTCTTTCAGCAACGAGACCAAAACATCTGGAGACTTGTGATTACTCTGGCCAATTACAAGAGTACATCCACGTAGCTGCGTTTGCGTAGCTGGGCAGCGCGTCAGGTCCGAAGAGGTGCCCATCAAGCTGCATAATTAAGGATTAATTTGCAGTGTTTGTTTTTACCAAACCAGTGTATAAAATGAATAATAATCTCAGTCATGTTATTATGAAGAGTTGTTTATTCCAACAAATAAGAACTTTATTTATTTACATTGTTAACAGTGCAATGTCTGCAGTGTTCTCTCGCTCTCCACTGAAATCTATGTGCTCAGTGTGAAGTCCACCTTTACTTATAGTGGTAATCCCAGAAACAGTTCCTGTCCTCTGAAAAACAGAGGCGGACATCACACTTAATGCATTGAGTATTGGTGTACCCTTTACTGCAATGTCTGCAGTGCCCTCTCTTTGTCTTCAGGGGGAAACGTCCAGTTTGGTCCATGCGCACATCCATGGGCGGTGGTTTGCGTGACTTTTTAGAAGAGGGAGCCTTTGGACTTCCATCATCCATGTGTGGTCTCTTTCCACTATTCAGAGGGCTCCTGTCTCTGGGCTCTTGTTGATTGAAGATGGCCGTCCTCTCTTTGGCGTTTTCAGTGTTGTGTCCACCAGATTAGAATATAAAGAACAAATGTATCAATTTATGTACATCTCAAATTCCAGTCTGATTTATCACAAACAAGGTAAATAGCACAAATAGATCATTACCGTAATGAGAGAGGAAGCCAGCTGTGCTTGGAACTTTCTCATGTTCAGTATCTCCTTTGGCATCCTGAGAGCATAAGCTGTGCTGCTTGTAGAGGAGCCAGGTGTTGACCACAGCAAGGGTGATTGTGTGCCAGAAGATGTACATGTACCACCGCCAGGATTTCAGTGCATACTTGTGTTTTGCTGTAAATGAGTCCAACAAATCCACACCTCCCATGTATTTATTGTAGATGCCCACAATGGAAGCCTTTCTAACGTCAATGTAGGTTTTGGCGGCTTTGTCCCAGTGTTGAATCTCCTGAACAGGTTCTGGTCCAGCGAAGTGTCACCGCCCTGTTGTCGTACCATTTGACAGCACAGATTCCCCCTCTACTCTGTGGTCAAAGCTTCCTCTGCCCTTCTTCTTCAAGCTCTTCACATGTAAAGATTAAAGTTGGGTAGATGCACTTGCCTGGCTGTTCCCACATAATGGATTCCTTGCTCAAGGAGCTTCACTACCAGTGGAACGGAGGTGAAGTAGTTGTCTGCCTAGATCTTGTTGTGTTGACCCTTTGGAAATGTGGAGGCAAGCTTCATTACAACATCACCTGACAATCCAAGTTTAGATTTAACTCGTACATCATTGTTGCTCCCTTGGTAAACATCAAAGTCAAGCATCATGCTAGAGATTCCAGCTTTCACCCATACTTTAAAGCCCCATGAGCATAGATTACCTTACATATACTTCTTGATGCTGCTGAACTTCCCGTTGAAGGGTATCATCATCTTGTCCATGGAATGTGCTCTTCTGGTACCACCTGCAGGCAGTTTTCTCTGAGTGAATCAAGCCGGGGTCTGAGTTTCCAGAGTTTGTCCCTCTTTTCAGTCTCTGGCACGGTTAAATTGTTTACAAAATGTAATGTTCCATCCTCAGGTACATGCCCAATGCTGCCTGTATTTCTTTTGTATTAGTGTTGACTGATCTTTCATCATTTTGAATGCTGTACTCATTTGTATTTGTTGCCAGAGCTTGAACCAAATCTTCTGACACAAACCTTTGGAAGTATTGCAGTGGTGTGTGGAGGGAGGTGACATCATCTGTGAGAGCTTGACCAGAAAAATCAGTGACGTCTGTCTTGTGGCATGATTTATTTCTTTGATTGCCCGGGCTCAATATTCACATTAGCTGGACAATCGGTAGGTTCTTGGTTTTCTTTGTCCACAGAGACATCAATATCTGATTCTTCATCACTTGCATCAGTGTCGTCAAAGTCTATGTCCACATCACTTTCTCCGTTTTGGATGATGGCAATTACATTGTGCACATTGTACCGAGGATTTCTCCTTGCTGGTGGCATTCTGAAATGAAAAAGATAAAATTGAAACAAATTTCCATTGTATATACAAATAGCACACATGCCTCATTATGACGTGTTCACACTTTGGACTGAAGCAGCCTATTCACACATCTCACTGGTCACGCTATACCCTAATGGCTCACCTATAGTAGACTGTGATTGTAATCCTTACAGGAATGCATTCAGCGTCCAGTTTACAACAAAAACAGTGATGAACATTTACACCTGTGTCAGAACAAAGCACCAGGAGCATCCCGCACAACTTGGAGGATTGGCCAGGTGTCTCTTGCAAAAGAGATCTTGGATCTCAATGGGACAGACCTGGTTAAATAAAGGTTTTAGGCCTAATGATAATAAGCTCTTTGACTATAAATTGATAAGAACATTTTGTTTATCAGTAGACTAAGAAAGGGCAGATTTGCACAAACAGAATTTCTTTGTTAGAAAGTCCTGCAGAATGTGATAGCAAATTATAATGTTTAGATATGGCAATATATCTTTCAACTTTAGTCTCTAATACAGTATAGAATATGTAATCCGATATAAAGCTAAAGGGTATAATGTTTAAATCCTGTATAAATGTGAACATTTTCATTTAAGTTCCCCTCAAGATGTTCCTTAGCCTGGGAAAACCCAGACAACTTCCGGCAAATTTAGATTTGCTCTGAAAGTTAGTCTGGCAAAGAGCTCATTCAAGCCCATTTCCAATCCACCGAAATCGCGGCACCAATCAGAAACGTTGGGGCGGGCTTTACACGATGACGACAGCGCTGGGATTTTGAAGCAGATTTTGTAGCCTACATTACAAAGATGGATGCCGCCGTCGAACATCACTCGTTCGAATCAGCTATCGCGTCTGTTTTAAGCGGTTTGAATGTTTCCTTTTTGTTAAAAACCGAGCAAAGAACAACACTCGGAGATGTTTCTCTGCCGGCCGCCGCTCTGCATACATCATCTCCTTCATCGCTCTGATTGGTTTTAGGCCTACCCGCGACATCCGTTGGTGATGCCCCTCTGGAAATGATTTGTCTATGACGCTTTGCCAGACCATAACTCAGTTACAACTGAGAATGGTCTGGTTTTAACCAGGCTAGATGTTCCTCTTAAATACAGGGCAATTATGACTACCACTCTCATCCAACATTGTAATATCGCAACATTTATAAAACAAGCTCTAAACAAAATGTAGGGCATATTTTCAACATTTACTGTACATGTCCTTGTTCTAGACACTGTAATAAACACAGAAAAACACATTCCAAGCATTTTACTTACTTCAAGATGAATCCAGTCCAGTAAATCAAAGGGATGTTGCTTGATCAGAAAGTTGTAGGATGTGTCACTTCTTGACTTAAGGGGGGTGGGCTTTGTATACAAATCCTGGATCCAATTACATGGTGGGAATAAAATGTAGGACCCACAGATCATATTGATGTGGTTGTATAAACAAACAAACAATAAAAAAAAAAGACAAAAGGGGTTTTGGGAAATAACCACAATTGTTGTAATTCTGAAACAGTGGGTCTTACAGGGTTAAGTAAGATAAAAATTTCTTTATAAAAGAAAACCTACAATGTTTTGTGTTTTTGCCTACATAGGAAAACAAACAGCCATCAAAAGAAGCTGGACCCCAGACGAGTGTGCTGCAGTGGACACACATTTGAGGAGATTTATTTTAAGGAATCAAGTTCCTGGTAAAGAAGAGTGTCAGCGCTGTATTACTGCAGAACCTCAAGCTCTCAAACAGAGACTGGAAAGCAGTTAAATATTATGTTAAAAATCGCATTACAGCCCTGAGAAGAAAAGTCTAGTGTGAAAGCACCTAATGGAACTGAGGTAAAACCAAAACATTAGAGGTAGGATCTTAAAATGTTTTGTCTTTGGTTGTGTTCTGTTGTAACCTTGTTGTTGTTGTAGGGGTTTGCTCAGGTTTTATGGCTGTCCAGTGGCCAACAAATATACACATTTCACAGTTCTTTAATTTTATTTTTTATTTGATGGATGTAGGATGGATGTTGAATAGATGTTTGTTGGATGGATGGATGTAGGGTAGATGATGGCTGGATGGATGTAGGGTAGATGATGGCTGGATGGATGTAGGGTAGATGATGGCTGGATGGATGTTGACCAGATGTTGGCTATATGGATGGATATTGATTTTCTTATTTATTTTAATACATTTTTTTTATTTTAGGGCCTGAACATTGAAAGTGTGTGGGGCATATGTTAAATATTTCAAAGGATTTTTCATTTCTTTAAATATCTCTGTATCTTGATTTCAAAATTTGAGGCTTCACTGGAAAGAGCAACTTTAACTTTAACTGTTAACATGATATTATGGATGCAGTCCAATGAAACATATATAATGCCTATATAAGAGAAACTGTTGGGTTTACATAAAAGTTCAGGCTGATGTTGTTCAAACATTGAGTGCAGATTGTACAGACCTCTAGACATTAAATTAATAATTTGTTTAAATCATTTCATAAAAAGTTTGACTGACAACTATGTGGCATAAACTGTCATTACAATAAAATTCGTCATTTCAGTTTTGTCATAAAACTGTCTTTGAAGCCGTATGTCTTGTAATCTGTAAAGGCAGATGGAAAGTTTCACATGTATACATAATTACTCATTACAAAAATAACTATTTTAGTCCAAAATAAGGAAACTGGGAGTAATAATAAAGGCTGGTGTCAGCAGCTGCAGATAGTGACCTTGGGCCCCATTAACATATAAAAACTTGGTGTGTATGTGGGCGGACCCCACAAGTCGGCAATCCTAGAAACGGTCCCCACAAGGGGCCAAATACCTTTTTTGACAAAACTTTTTAAATTTGTCAAATTGAAGTGATATTAATGATTGAGATTTTTTTTTTAGATCTAATGTTGTTTTTTACAGCAGTGTAGGACCACTGGAAAGGGTGGATCCCACAACGCATAAAAAAACTGTTGGGCCCCATGAGGGGGCCTGCGTCAGAATGTGTGTGTCCTTGTCCTTCATGTAGCACAACTGAGCCAAAATATCTCTTGTGTTGGTATTTGTCTGGGCACAGTTGGTTCACTGTAAGCGCCAGGCATGTCAGGACATGCACAGAAACATTTATTGAACTTTACTTTGTCAGTCTTTGTTAACGTTAGGAAATGTATTTATTTCTGTGTATATATCTGAATTAAGGTCTGCAAAGTAACAAAATTCATTCATTTTGATTGTTTCTGTTCTGAGGAGTAAGGAGGTATCCCTCCGTTAGTTGCCTCTTTATTACCACAACACTGAAGTTTTAATAAAGGGGCGGCTCAGGTTCCATATCGCCCCTAATATTTGCGGTTCAGAGTTTGTTAAACCTGTTGTCTAGAACAGGTCAAAGCAGTTTATACTGTAGCTGACATGCTCAAATTGTTCTGACTAACTTTAGGGAGAAAAGTATAATTTATTAAGGCAGGAACAGGTTGAACATGTGTGTGCGCAGCATAGATATTATTCCATGTCATTTCATTCCAATTAGTCCTGCAAATTAAACAATATCAGCAGTCATTTGTTTGTCTTCCAACTCTGTTGAAATCAGTTTTATGATGTGACAACACTATGCTTAAGCTTTGATTAGGGTTAAAATGCCTCATTTGTTAAAGTTAGCAGACCTGCTCCGGGCTTATCAATTCAAATTAAACACACGTGGTTTCTGAGCACTGGTTGAAACAACTGCTGCTTATCATCTTGGGATGACCTCTCTTTTATTCTTACATCACTTTGTCTGGGTTTATGAAAATGCATTTTCTGCAGCAGTTTTAGCAGCAACACTAGTACTGAAGGAATATCTAATTGAAAAACATTTGGAAGGTACATGGTTATATTACCCCCAATAAATGTTTAGCTAATTTTCAAATAGCTGCACATAACTGTACTGTGCAGGAGATAAGGTCAGGCCCTGTAGGAAGGTGACAGAGCTGTCACAGTGCTTCGCCTTCAAATACACAAAATAAACGCTTGATGCCAATCTACAAAATCTCATGTAAACAACTTGATAAAGACAGAAGAAACCCAATAAATAGTGTCCATACACTCTATATATGTGTATGTATGTATGTATATATGTATGTGTGTATGTATATGTATATGTATGTATATGTATATGTATATGTATGTATATGTATGTATATATATATATATATATATATATATATATATATATATATATATATATATATATATATAAAAAATATTCAAGGTACAAGGTTGTTTATTTGTCCTTATACAAGACAAGGTCGCATAATGAAACCAAAGTTTGTAGTCCCTTAATGCTACACACACAATACTTAACAGATAATTAAATATATTGAAATATGGAAACACTTAAAATAAAACAATAGGCTATTCATAGTTTTCAGTCACATGACATGCGCGGTGACCTGGAATGCAAAACAACAGACCAACACTGCGAATCCCCCGTAGAGACGCTGCAAAAACGGTAAAATTTTATTTGGATTACCTTTCAACTTAAGAAAAAAAAAAAGATGAGCACAAACTGCAAGTGTGGGCACTTCCAATCCATATAACGTTACAGCATCCGCTGCCACATTTCTACCATTAAAAACCCCCAGATCCCTGCTGCCACTCGACTGCGGTAATGTTTACTTTTACCTTCTGAGGAATCCCTCACCTAACACTCAGGCTAGTCTCCTCCTCGATTAGTAGCCTAAATGATGGTGATGGCGCACAGTATGTATGCAAAATCTGCCCACGGCTGTCTATTGTAGACATTTGGAAACAGTCTGCCCCATTGTCAATGAAAATGACATAAGCCAATATGAAAGCAGGTTTTTCTACAGTAGGGAGGAACAGAATAGGAGGTCCCACATAGAGAAGCAGCATAGAATACACAGTGCATCTTGTAGCATCAGTCAAACTACACAGAGAATACAATATAATATTTTAATTATTAAAAAAAATACAAATAAAAACAGATATGATTTGTCTTTGCACAAACATATAGATATTCTTACAAACACACCCTCCAACAACCAAATGTTTGTTGTTGTACCTGAAGGAAACACTCACACACCCTCCTTTAGCAGCAGCAGCCTCTCTGTGAATGAGCCAGGTATAGCAGCGGTGCTGATGTGATGAGAAGTGACAGCTACTGTGGACTGTTTAGACTGGATGTGATACACTTGGCTCGCTGCTGATCAAATCTCCAACAACAAACTATTAACTCCAAGCAAATTGTGCCAAGTAGGTTAAAGGGGGCCTTGTCTGTTTTAATATCACTGATTTCTCCATTTGTTATCAGGGTGAAAAAAAAAAACTCATCCTGCGCTTGATAGAGGCACATTTGTAACATTCTCTTTCTCTCCCTTCCACTAGGGAACATCGGCTCATTGTGTCATTCTACATCAGTTTATGAAACTGCAGATTTGTTCAGGTCTTTCTTCCTGACAAAGAAACTCTTCATTCTCTGCTCGAGACAACAGCTTTTCACATGGAAACTCATGGATGTCTTAAAATAGGTTGCTCCATTCACCAAACCAAACTGTGGCTGTTATATCATGCACAAGAATCAAAAGACTGTAATGTACTACAACACAAGAGAACCCAATATAATGCACCAACACAATCAGGTGGATACTGTTCAGTGTTGTAAGGCTGAATCATACAAATGATCTGAAGATGTTTGTGCTGGTGTAGAAGTGGTATTGGTATTCTATCAAAAGTGTATATTTTTTTTCATCCACATCATAAATGAGAGAATGTATGCAGTGACATCTGGATAGGTATTTAATAGTGTCTGCACCACAAAATGTGTTTATGTTCTGCTTAATCTATTTTTTTGCATGGATGTGTAAAACACTTTAATGCCAAAACTTGTGGCATCCCAGGTGAAATGACATCTGCCAAGATGAGGTCTAATTTTGATCTGATATGAACTTTGCTTTGGAAGGTGCACCAGTTCATTTCACAGGGTCTTTGTCTCACTGTTTTCATCTGCAAAATGTTTTTATAGCTGGAAGATAATAGAGATGTGACAACACAGATGGCTAACAAGTTGTATATCAGTCAGTTTTTCACATGATCATTAGGAAGTCCAGCATACCACAATGTGTGTCAATGAAACCTCCAACAAATACATGATAAAAAGGACTAATAAAGGAGCTGATTGTTAAAGGTGCATTACACATTAAGAGTGAGTCTGTATGAGGAAGGTCCGTGTAGAACTGAGCCGAAAAAAAAACTAACCTAAGGCGAGGGCGGACAGAGTTGTTCATCATGCCTTTGTTGAGGCTAAGTGTCCGTTCAGTTGATGGCTATGAGCTGATGTGTGTTTTTTTTACTGACAGTGAAATCCATGCACTGCCTATGTTTTTAATGAAAGCAGCAGAGCCCTGAAAAAAACCCTTAGCATGGTATATGTGAGAAAAATACTGATGTCTCACTACCTGGAGCTTTTGCCTCCACCCATTAGCAACGGAGACGGATGGATCTTTATTTTTTTAAAAGACAACATTTGGAAAAACTCCTCAGTTATTCAGGATAATTCACAGACTGGCATGTTTCTTTGGAACTAGTCTCTTAATGTAAAAGACTGATGCTGTTGAGTCCAGCGTTTGTTGGAACACATGACCATGAGGTAGCACATAGTGTAATCAAACCCCAGGTCTCTGCAGTGGTGGCCCATGTCCATATATGTATATACCCTGTGTATGGATCTGGCAGAGGTATTTTCTCTGATTTAAAAAAAAAAAGTGTTTGGCTCATGAACACCGTCTAACCTCTATGTACAAAGATATGTATTTCTGTGTGTGTGTGTTTAGGGGGAGGGAGCGGGTGGGGTTTCTCAAAATTAAATTGCTGCAATTGAGAGGCAAGAGGAAGTATGGGAGAGGAGAAGATGAGTAGAGGGAGAGTGGAAGCAATGAGGAAGGAAGGGATGGGAGAAGGGGAGGCAAAGGAGAAAGACAGGGAGGGCAGGAGAAGGTGAGGGGGGATGAGTTCTGAGTGGCAGCACATGCCCATTTATTTAGCAGTTTAGCCTAATTTCTCT